TTCAGATTTATGTACTTCCATTGATAAATGATCGTTTTTTTTTTTTTGTTTGTTTGTTAAATTATCAGACACCAGACATTTCAATAATGTGCATGTAAAGTTATTACAAAATTATTTCTCAGTTTTTCATTATAAATTATCAATTATATATTTAAATAAAAGAACATTAAACGTTAAGTAATTTTCTTTTAATTATTCATTTTAATTGTAAATTTTTCTTTTGTTAAAAATTCGAGGCATAAAAATCATGAAAATTATTTTTAAGCTTACAATATATTATAATTTAAAAAAAAATATAAATTACACTCGCAGTTATAACTAACTCGTTGAATTTTTTAGCATTTAATTAGTTGACAATTATGAAATGTTTGAAATAAACTTGATGTGAAATTTGACGAGAGTTTCTATCTCTCTTTCTCTTTGCACATTTATCATGATTTACAATGGTTGTTGCGAACATTAATTAGTTGCTGTGGTCGCATCAAATATCCGCAACAGCTATGACAATCAATGCAACTGTGTATCGCGAAATGGCTAAATTGACATATGCACCATATTATTTGCTTTCATATTATACATTTGCAGATTACTTATATATATATATGAGAATTTTGTCATTTTAATATCTTAATTGCTAACTATATAAATAGTCTGTTTTGATAATAACAATCAAATAAAATGTCGAATATAAATATTATTATTATATTAAAACAATATTAAATTGTTTGACAATATATCTTAGTAAAAAAAATATTTAAAGAAAAATATTTTAAAAAATATTTTAATTAAATAATTGAAATTGAGAAAATAAAATTAGATTTTTTTTTTAATTTTCTGGTTTCTAGTTATTTAGTTTTTCAATAAAATTAGAGAGAAAGAAAAACTATTCTGGAAGTCTCTCTTTGTATCCGCAAAAGTTGACGGGAGTCGTATATAGAAACGACGGAGAGTAAAAGCGACGACCCTCTCTCCATTTCGAAGTGGGGTCGATTTTCCTATATATATATATTCGTATCCGGAGATAGTATACCCCCAACGTAGTCGAAAATTAGGGGTTGCAAAGGAAAGTCGTCCGTTGAACATCGTCCCTAGAATCTAAAGGCGCCCTTAAAACTCTCCGAAAGCTGGGGACCAAGCTAGAAACGTAATTTGCAACGAGTCCAATATTTCTTTATCCCTGAAAGGATGCCGTTTCGCCTTTAAATCGAAATGTTATACTTATCTTTTAACAAAACGTGTTAGACCTATTATTTATTTTCTTCCAATTATAGTAATTAAAATATTTTTTCAAAAATGATTTTTTTTTTTTGCAAAAATTTTTTTTATGACAAATGAATGGGATTTTTTTTTTGTTTTTGAAGAGAAAGAATCATTGGCACAGGAAAGAGATGAGGTTAAAAGTCAGTTTCAGTTAAAAAGTTTCTATGTCAGGGAATTTTAGAGAGAAATAGAGAGAGAGGAAAGAATTAATCTTCCTCGCGTCACTTTGGTTTTTATATACGTGAAAAAAAAACCGTAACTCTAAACTATTTTATTTTCTAGATTTCTTTTTTATTTTCCTCTATCAAACATCCTATACTAATCTCATCGCTTTATTTTATTCGATTTTCTGGTTTCGTTCGTAAAAATAAAAAAATAAACATTCTATAGTTTATTGCGAGAATTTTTTTTTTAAGTTACATTTCTCTATAGAAAAAAAAAGTTTTAGCTACCGAATTTTTGTTTGGCAAAAAAATAGAAAGAAATTATTTTAATTAATGAAATTAAAAATATAGAAAAAATTTGGAATTATTGGATTAATGAATTAAAAAGAAAAAGTGGAAAAAAAATTGAATTTTGAAATTGTCTCTCTTATAACCTAAATGAAGACTTTAAAATTTGCAAGTGATGAAAAAATAGCGGAGCATTAAATAATCACCGTGAACGCATATAGATTTTTAATTGAATCGTTAGTAAAACATAAATTGCAAGGTGAAAAGAGAATTATAGGGTTTTGGCTATGTGTATATCGCAAGTAGGACAGATATGGATTTCAACAAGCAACCCTAAAAGCTAAAACCCCATGAAACGACAGTAGTGCGTTCATTGTCGTTTATATATTTGTGAGCGTAAATGTGCGTGGGTGAATACAAGCGAATTAAAGAGAGAGAAAAGTATATATAGTGACTCGTTGGTCGATATCCATGGTGGGTACCATACGGGCGCTATCTGATGGAGCTTTTATTCCACGAATAATACTTTTGTTTCGAACCTTTACTTGTCAAAAGGGAATTTCTTCCCTCTCTCACTTTCCATTTTTTTTCTTCTTTTTTTACTTCCTTTCTATGAACACACACCAGGCGTGAAGATAAAACCATAAAAACTTTACAATTTAAAAAAAACAACAACAACTTTATGTCAATCACTTTTTTTTACTATTACAAAAGAATTTTTCATTTAAAAAAATGTTTTTATTTCTTTCAAACTGAATATTCACCAAAAATTTTTTGTTCTTTTTTTTAAAAAACTTTTTTTCTGTTTTATTGTTCATTTTAAACAACTTTTTATTTTGAAATAAACATTTTGTTTTTAATCAACTAATGTTTTACTTTTTTCGATATTTTATGTTAATAATTTTCTTTTTTACTTTTTTTTACAATTTTTGGATATTTTAATAATTTGTCTTTTTTGTTGACAAAATTTTTGAAACAATATAAAATTTAACAAAAAATTTATTTGAGCTTTTAAATAAATTTCTTTTATGATTGTATTTATGAAAATTTTGTTTCAAACTACGAGAGTTGAATGATATTTAGTATGACTACCGCCTTTGGAGCTTCTTCCCTTTCATATTATTTAATCCCCTCGTCGATAGAAGATACTCTTTTTAGGGTATAGTTTCGAATATTATATCGTATTCCAGGGACGCGCAAATCTTCTCAAAATATGAAAATTACTTTATTATAAATTTATTTTGATGCTGAAAAATATTGAAAATTTAAATTTCTTTTTTTATGGAAATTAATTTTACTCCACTTTTTTTTTTTTTTAATAATTGTTCACTTTCCGAAAAGTGCAACTTTTTTTAAATTCGTTTGTATTTTTAATTTGAAACTTTCTCAAACGATTTCAAATAATTGGAAATTTTTTAATGAAGCCGATTTTCTCAAAAAAAAAAAACGGAGATTTTTTTTTACAAAATACAAAAAAGTCTCCATGTTCGATATATGGAAAGACATTTAGGAGTACCTTTGGGTTAAAACTCATCGTGTGACATTTTCCGATATATCGGAAATAGATGACGAATTCTTCAAGTTAAGTGAACACACAATGTATCCTTTTATCATTTCGTGTCCCTGGATATTGTATACTATGAATAAAAAAAATTTGATTTTCCCCAAAATTTTGTAAATCGAGAAAATAAATTTTTCTCGCAATTAAATGTGTTCACAAAAAAAAATTATTTGAATATTTAATTTTTTTAAATAAAATTTTTCTTTTCCTTTTGAATAATTTTTAAACGACTCTGTTGAATAATTTTTTTTTTGTTTTTAAAGATATACAACGTACGTATAAATATTTGTCACACAGGAGTTAAATAAATATTTATTTGCTTTCAAATAAAAATTTTATTTTCTCTAAATAGAAATTTTATTTGCTCCAAATATAGAAATTTGAATCAACAAAAATTTTTATTTATTGAATTTTTAAAATGGGAATTTAAAGAAATAATTTCAAAGTTTTTTTTGTTGTAATTTATATTTTTTCACATTTCTAGAAAAAAGGTTTAAAATTTCCTCTTTTTTTTATCCTTGGCATTCTAAAGAAAGAAATATCAATAAGTGTTTTTTCTCCGGATCTTTTTAGATTTATTCTCACTGAAATCTTGTTATTTTTCTCAATTCAATCCATTCGTTCTCAAATCCGTGGATAAAGAAAAATCCGGGGTATTAAAGAAAAAATGCATCTAAAACTTTTTATTCAATTTCCAATTAATTTGATTTTAATTATTATTATTGTTAAATTTCATATATGAAAAATTGTATATAATATTTATTTATTTATATTTACTTGAAACAAATATTTATTTGGCTCTGAGAAAAATATTTTTTCTCTATATATGTTATAACTTCCTTTAGAAAATTCAAATTTCGTAAGGAAATATATGAAAAAAAAATAAAAATACACCCAGAGAAATGTCTCAGAGCCTAATAAATATTTATTTGATTTAAATAAAAAATTTTATTTACGGCAAATAAATAGGCTAGTTGGCTGTGATACAAATATATATTATATTTGATTGAAATAAAACATTTCTTTGGGTGTATAAATCAAAAATGAAATAAAGATTGAAAGTAAGATGAAAAAATAAGACTTCAAATTAAAAGCGATTCAAGAAAAATTTAATCCTCTCTTTTTAGTTCTCCTCATCGTTCTTGTTCGTGTTTAATAAGTCAAGTAGTACTCTCTTTTCGGAGTCAAAAACCATATGTACTTGAAGAAAAAATAAAATAAAATAAAGAACTTGTCGAATAAAAGAAAGTGCTGTGGGGTTAAAAAAAAAAAAGAGGCGAAGAAAAGTTTCGTCTTGAATATGTTGATGCACTTCATATAAAAGCCTCGACATCGCAAGTGCGTCGACCAAAGCGTTTCGTAGAATAACGTCGCTTTCAATGATGCGTTTCTTGCACGTAATCGCTTGCCAGTCGTTTTTGCCCGTTTATATTCTCTGCGGTTCAGTGATAAAGAGTACTTTAGCGAACGTCAAAAACATCCTGTCTTCAATTTTCATTTATACCTATATACTCAATCATAGGGAAAAAAAAATTTGTTTCATTTTTAATAATAAAAAAAATTAATTTAATTTTTTATTACAATTTTTATTATAATTGTCAATTTGGATTAGAAAATTGTAATTTGAATAATTTCAGGTTTATATATATATAATTTGAGAAAGATGAAAGGAAATTGTATGTAACAAGGGACGATAATTTAACTTGGATTTATTTTGCTTATTGCAGGTGCAAAAAAGCAGCAGAGGCGTTGCACGATGGATAGAATAACGAGGTGGTCTTGAATGGGCCATTTGCCAAAAACTTGTGAATTTACTACCAGACGTCGTTGTTGAAAAACGCAACATGGAGACACTTCAGGAAGATGGAAATTCCAGCATAATTTGCGTCTAGACCTAGATTCTGATCGGTCAGCATCGGATAAATATTCAAAAATGGGCAAGTGTTGCAGTAAGCGGCAGGAGCCTCAACCAATCGGTAGATATATATATATTTTTTTTTATCATAAATCAAAAATTTGTTTGTAACTAATTTTCTCGAATTTTATTCTCTTCTCAATTCTTTGTGCTTCTTCTTCTAATTTTTTTTGTCACTGAAATATTTTTTCATTTTCTTAATTTCTAATTTTATTTCATATATTGTTTCTTAATAATTATATTTGTCTCACGCTTTATTTTTTTTTCATTTTCTTTCCTTGTCACCATTTTTTGTTAACTTATCTCCATTTTTTTTTATTAATCAATTTTTTATTTTCACATTCAAATTCTGTTTCTAATTGTAAAATTTTCAAAAATAATTGAAATAAATTTAATTTTATTTCTAGTATTGCAAATGTACTATTTTCAATGATATAATCTATTATTTATAGTAATTTGTAATGTGATTGGAACATCTTCATTTAACAGAAAGCTAGATAATTAGATTTGCGAAAAATGAGGTCAATTGGTTCTTTAACCTTCGACACTCGCGTTAACTCAAAGTTAAAACTTTTTTATCAGATTAGTCAGCGTTTCGTAAATGATACTAGACAGATGCCGGAATAAAATTCACAGACTTTTAAAAGAGACTCTTCTTTTTTTAAACTTCAAAAGAAAAAACGAGTGTTTACTTATTTTGATGATTTTTTTTTTTAATACCAGAAAAGTAATTTTTTGATTATATGAGTATAATTTAAATTACTTATTTTTAAGTTAAAATATAGGAGAGATTTAATTTAATATGAATTTTTTTTTTTTTTTTATTTGTAAGAAAATTTTTTTCTAGGATACAAAAAAGCTGATACTGGGTTAAGTTCGAAGCACAGCAATGGAGGTTCTCTGGACCGATATACTGCCGATCCAAATCAAAGAGGAGTTCAGGCCAGGGCGGATATTATTCGCCCCAGGCCCACACCCTGTAAGCTTCAGATTCCACATCAACCCCGTAAATCAAGCTCGCCTGTCATAGTACCTGCATGTGTGTATTTTTATTTTGTTTGTTTATAATTTAATTTATGAGGTTGTACCAATATTTAAAATTTATTTACGTAAGCGATCATTTTTTATTTTTTTTATTATAATTTTTCATTCAAATTCAATACGCGAAAGAGGACCGTAAACAAAATAATGATTTTTAATTTCACTTCTGAATATACGGGAGGGGGATTTTCTATAAATTTCTTTTATATAATATAAAATGTCTCCATTTTCTGGCGACAAATTGAGGATAAACTTTATAGCGCGAAGTATATATATATATAAGAATTAAACTTATTTTGGCTTTCCTTAATGGAAGATCTGAACAATGAATTACCGCTTGTTTAAACTTCAAATTCAAAAGTTGCAAACAAAATGCGGAGTTTCTCTTCTCAAGATAGAAACTTGTACCGCGTGAATTCTCTGAGACACAAAACTTTATTCTGAATTAAACTAAATTGAAAGTTCGTATTTTAAACCACGAAAATAACAGAAGTGAGAACTCTCCCTAAGAAAAAAAAATTATCGAGCATGTCAAAGTAATTTTTTTTTAATTTTGAAAATTAAAATTTATTTTATTCATATGTAAAAAAAATGATTTTTAACTGTACTCATGTATCGCTAATTAATGTATATGTGATTAATTTAATTGTTTCGTTTAATTGTCACTAAGTTGCTTTAGAAAAAATAAATGTAAAAATTATGTTGCTAATTATAGAATAGTAATTTAGAAAATGAATAGCTTGTCCTTGCTTAGTATTTTTAATACTAATGCTATAAATAGATTGCTTTTATATGTTCATTTAATGTAATATAATCAAAATATATTGAAAAATTCTTTTTCTAATCAAAAATAGAAAAGGAAAAAAAATATACATTTTTCTCCGAGCTAAATAAATATTTATTCTATTTTAAAATAAAAATAAAAAATTTAATTATTTAATAATAATTGAGAAAATTATGTTTATTTAGCACATTCACAAAGAGCAAACAAAATTGTCGTTGCTCTTTATAATTATACGGCGAGAGAAAGCACCGATGTAAGTTTTGTCAAGGGTGATCGTATGGAGGTGCTAGATGATTCTGAACCCGATTGGTGGAAAGTTCTTCACCTCACGACTCTTCAAGAGGGTCTCATCCCCTGGAATTTTGTTGCAGTTGAACGTTCAGTAGAAAGCGAAGAGTACGAAACATTTTTTTCATTTTATTTTGGTTTTCTATTTTGTATAGTTATTAAAATATTTATTTAATTTTCAGTTGGTTCTTCGAAAATGTTTCGAGAAAAGAAGCTGGCAAATTACTTTTGGTTGATGAAAACCCTCGCGGTACTTTCCTAGTCAGACCCAGCGAACATAATCCAAGGGGTTATAGTTTATCAGTTAAAGATTGGGAGGAAGGAAGAGGTCATCATGTGAAACATTATAAAATCAAACCTTTGGATAATGGAGGATTTTTTATTGCCACCAATCAAACATTCCCCACGTTACCTGCACTCGTTATGGCTTATAGCAGTAAGTATTTTTTTGATTGAAAAAAAAAATTATTTTCATTAAAAAAGTGGGTAAAAAATTATTTTAATTTTTATAGAAAATGCCTTGGGTCTTTGCCACGTTCTTTCGAAACCGTGTCCAAAACCACAGCCCGATATGTGGGACTTGGGTCCAGAGTTGCGGGATAAATGGGAAATCAACCGAAACGAAATTCAATTGATTCGGAAGTTGGGTCATGGAAACTTTGGCGAAGTGTATTATGGAAAATGGAGAAATAAAATAGAAGTCGCTGTAAAGACATTAAGACCTGGTACAATGTCGACTGAAGCATTTCTTCAGGAAGCTGCGATCATGAAACAATTTAGGCATAGACATCTCGTTGCACTTTATGCCGTTTGTTCAAAGGAAGAACCAATTTACATTGTTCAGGAATATATGTGCAATGGCAGTTTGTTAGATTTTCTAAGGACAGGCGATGGTAAATATATGCAATTCGAAGATCTCATTTATATTGCCGCACAAGTTGCTTCTGGCATGGAACATCTCGAAAGCAAACAACTTATTCATAGGTTCGATTCAATTTATTATTTTATTTAGGTATTAATTATTTTATATGCATTTAATAATTATTAATTTATATTTACAGAGATTTAGCCGCTAGAAATGTATTAATAGGTGAGAAAAATAAGGCGAAAATCTGCGATTTTGGTCTCGCGAGAGTTATTGAAGACGATGAATATTGTCCAAAACAGGGAAGTCGATTTCCAGTGAAATGGACAGCACCTGAAGCTATTGTTTATGGACGATTTAGTATCAAGAGTGACGTCTGGTCCTATGGAATTCTATTAATGGAACTCTTTACCTACGGACAAGTTCCATATCCTGGTTAATAATTTATTTAAAAATACAATTTTCTTTTCAATTTTTTTAGATAAATTTTGTAAATTTTATGTAAAATAAAATATTTTAAATATATTTGTTATTTTAGGAATGCATGGTCGTGAAGTAATAGAACAAGTGGACAAGGGATATCGAATGCCGAAACCAGTGAATCATCCCCTTCCGGACAGTATCTATCGATTAATGTTACAATGTTGGGATGGAACACCGGAGAAACGACCCACGTTTGAATTTCTCAATCACTATTTCGAGTCGTTTAATGTCACAAGTGAAATTCCGTACCTCGAACCACCAACAGACTGATACACGGCCCACATGCAAAGTCACATGGTGCCGCATGGTCACTTTCATCCGGCGCACGTCAATTGTGCCATGGAGTTTTATGGTATTTATTGTTAAAAAATTGTCGCAAAAAAGAAAACACACACAAGCAACTCGCGTAACGTTGTTAATGGCGATAAAATAATTATAAATAATAAATAGTAGACGGGGTGAATAATAAAACTCCTCCGACATGGAAAAATTGTCGATTAAACATTTGCGTGAAGAATAGCACTAATTGCTGTTGCCAGAAATCAGAACTCTTTGTTAGTTTTTTTTCTATTTTTTTTTTTTTTTTTTTTTGACATAGAGTGTAATCGAAGAACGAATAACGTGCCATGAATTTTCTTTTTACTATTTAAATTTTTTCATTTTTGCTCTGATATAAAAATATTTTCCATTCGTTTTTTCTTTTTTTTAATATTTTTTTATTAGAGCAAAAATTGTGACGTCTTTTTAAAATAAGAGGAATGAATGTTATGAAAATTCTTACGGGGAGGGTGCGAAAAAAAGCTGTAGACTGACAAAAAGGAATGACTGAAAGTCGCGGAAATAAGGATGAATGTTCTTAAAAATGTTTAGAATAATTTGTTTTTAAATTAAAAAAAAAAAATTATTTTTCCGCGAATATCAGTGGTGCCAAGATTTTCTGTGAGAAGAGGCAAAAGTAAAATTTTTTGAATTTAATGAAAAGGTGCATTTCTTTTATATATTTTTTTTTTGAGGAAAATTTTAACTTTTAGAGAGTAGCATCGACAGAGTCGAAACTTAAACGTGAACAAATAAATGAACTAGTTACTGTATAACCGCAGGTTAGTCGGTTAGAAAACGGTTACAATTTATAAATATATATATATATATAAATAAATATAAATGTATATTTAAAAGGAAAAGAGACAAAGCTCGCATTACTTAACTCTTTTTGGAAATTCGAATTGCGTTTTCTGCACTTTTATTAAAAAAAAACAAATCCAATCGTACTTCATTTATTCTTTCTTTGTAATTTGGAACTTGTCTCCTATTTCCGAAATATTTTTTTCAAATTCTTAAATATTCTATATACTCGAGAAGTTTGATTTTTTTTTCTATACTTGTCTATTCGTACCGTTGGTTCCTTCAATGCTTTCGGGCGCAATACTAAATAATGTTTAAAGTAGAAAGAAAAATTTTTAAAAGGCTCTAGTTCCTAGAAAGTTGAAATATTTTCAAAGATAAATTTTTTCAAATTTTGATTGAATTCTACAAGTGGGGAAACTTTATTGTGTTAAAAAAAAATGAGTGAGCACGTTGTGACAAGTCGGTATACGAAGTAAGACTAGATATTGGTAGATTGAATGTAATTTATAATTTTCTGTTTATACATACGCATTTATGTATAATTTTTTGGTTTTTTTTTTGTATCTTTTACGTCAATCCTGCCATTTGTCCCTGCGCTAGATTATATTATATTTATGATTGTAGCGATTATGGCCAATATCGTTTTTTTTTTAGACGAAAGTAGAGAGCGAATCTTTAACTCTCAACTGCCTCCCTCACGAAGTACCTTTTAAATCTTTTCCTGTCTCTATTGAACAATTTTTCTTTTGAAACAATTGTTATCAGCAAAACAATTAGTCGAGACTTTCTATTTTTCTACTGGAAAATAAAAAATATAGAAAAACTAATTTGAAATTTGAAATTTTAGTTTATTTATTAAATAGATTAATAAATAAAAATTATATTGAAAATTAGTTTTTATTTTATATTCTAGAAAAAAAGTTCAGAGTCTCAAAACTTGTTGCAAGGGAGGAAGAATTGACAGGATGCGGATATTTGTTCCTTAACTATAACAAAAAAAAAAAAAGAAAAATATATATTTTAGAAGAAAAGTTGAACTTTTGGGGTAGTTGAGAGTTAAATTATAAATTTGTCATGAGGTCGAAAAAGTTACTAATAACTAGATAAGTATGTGAGTGCGAGCATGTTGAAAGAAAAATAAATTTTCTTTTTCTCTGACGATAATGATTGAGAGACAAAATTGAACATTAACTTAAGTCATCGATGTTAATCGTACAAAATACCTTGGAAAATTGTACATTTTTTACTGGATACAATAACAGCATTAAATTAGGTAGGCACTAGGCATGGATCTTGCGAATCGGGTAACTTCTTTTTTACTCGTGTGAAAAATAAAATTACATTCTTGTCAAATTCTATCTACATTTCTGGAAATATTTCAGTGACTAAATTTGAAAAAAAAAACATAAGATTTTTAATGTAAATATTTTAAAAACAATTTTCTTGATAGATTTAATTTAGCAAAAATGTTTTTTCAACAAAATAATTCATTTTAGAAATAAATTTTTTTAATTCATTTCAATTTTAATATTTAATTTTGAGATGTGAATTTAAAATATTCCAGAAATACAATAGAGAATATTTCTCAATACATTTATCGAAAAAAAAAATATAAATTGAAAAAGTTTATAGCAAGTGAAAAAAAATATTTTTTAATCTCTGTTATAAAAAGTTAGAAACAATAAAGTTTCAGTTTCTTTATAATAAAAAGCAATTAAGCTTTTATTTATATAAAATTTATAAATTTTAAAGATTTGAAAAAAAATAATGACATTGGGGGAAGAGCGCGAATCGAAGTTTCTCGTAATCGTATCTCTATACAACAAGTTTATAGATTGATATTGATTTTCTACGAGTGTGACGATCCATTATTGTAGAGCACATTATTATTATAATAATTATTATTATTACCGCTAATATTTATCGAAAAGGCAAAACAGTTACGCAGCAAGCGTGCCGAATTAATAGAGTAGTCGCATCTACGTCCAATACGATTTTTCTATGAGCGTTTTATACCGACCAAAATGTTGCTGTGTTATTCGACTAAAATTCAGATTTTAGTATTGCTGTAGATTTTAGGATTAAAAAAAAAAATAATACTAACCTGTTTAATGACTGAATTTTAAGACAGTGATGAGAAAATAATGGTGCGATTGATAAACGTTTTCGGTAAATTCAAAGATATTTAAAAATACAAAAGCAGATAATTTCCAATTTTAGATTTTTAATACAATTAGCAATTTTTCGTTAAAAATGAAAATTAAAAATATTAGACATTGAAAATCATTAAGTCTGAATCCATGTGTTAACATGACTTGAAATTGACTGAAAAAAATGCTCTCTTTAAAAAGAAAAAAAAGAAGAAATACTCTGTAAACGTTTACAGAAAACGACGGTTAAAAATTTATTTATTTTTATTTTGCATTTACGAGACAATTTTGTCTATTAAAAACATAATTGTAACGAAAATTTTCTCATTATGTCTTACATTAATTTTATTTCTTTTTTTTTTATATAGAATTTTATTTTAGAAAAAAAAAATTAAACTTTTATCAAACTTGTATAAACTTTTGTAAATCTTATATATATACTTTAAAAATGTTTGCGTTGCATTCCACGTTTGAAATTTTTGTAGAGTTCCCTCCTTCCATTCAATGCAGGATCTCATTATAAAAATTGTACATACGTGGATTATTTTATAAGGAAGAATCCCTTTTCATATCCGTCGATATTGTAAAAAAAAAAAAATATCCAGTGTTTTTTATCGCCCTCCACAAAAGAAATGTGGATAAAGAAAGATGATTTTTTGTTTTTTTTTACAAATAATTTTCTCTGAGTTGTACAGTCTTATTATGATTATAATTGATTTATATTAAATTCAATTACGATGAAAAGTTTCAATCGACAAAAGTAATGTTGTTAAATATTTTTATATATACAATCACCTATATGTTGAAATCAATCCTGAGAGTGATTTTTGAAAAAAAAGAATGTTCACATCTACAAATCAGACTTTACGAACTATTTTTTGTAAATCGATTGTAATTTTTCATCAATATTTTGAATTTAACAAGACAAAAAAAAATTAAAAAAATTCTAAAAATCAGAGTAGAAAATCTTAATGGCAATATGTATTTAAATACTTTTGCCGCTATTAAGAATAATTAGGAAATTCTACAAACTACAAGCGCAGTACTTAAGATTGAAAAAAATATGAATACACTTGATTTGAAAAAATAAAATGAAAAGAAAAAAAAAACTTAGAGAATTAGATCCACAGGTGTGACAAATTGATGGCCTTGCTGCAAGAGAACTTTTCGAATAATCTGTGATATAGCGACAGACCTCGAGGCCATCGCATGAAAAAACAATATAGAGGGATATTTTTTATGAGTTCGATCTTTCATTTAAAAAAAAAAGACTTTTCCCTCAATTAATATACACATCTTATTCAAATCAAGATCGATATACTGTCGTCATTGTTTACGTACCAAAGCTTATTATCTTTAAGTAATTTAACGATTACTTTGTATTATTATTATTATTAATTATTATTATTCTAAGCCTATACAGATAAATATATTATGTATGACACTAATGTCTTTTTGATTTTTATCCCGATTTTTTATTTAATTTTTTTCAAATAGAAACTAAAATTTGTTTAAAAGAATTTAATAAAAAATTAAAAATTGCAGTGTTTTTAAAATAAAAACGTTTTTTTTTAATTGAAATAGTAAATTTTTTTTGGAAATATACGTAGGATCAAAAATATTTGTAACAATAGATTTTTCAATATTGATGTAAATGTATTATCAATTATTTACAATTATTTTATAATTATTTTCAATAATCTTAAATATTTTTTGTTTTTTTTAATATTTTTAATTATTCTAAAATATTCATATATATATTTAATTTTGCATTATCTGTCAATCATTCTCAGATATTTTAAATAAAAAAATTGTATTATGCATGTTTTCAAAGTTTAATGTTTAATGTTTTTGAAACATTAACATTTATAATAGTTGAAAATATTTTTTAATATTTCTGAACTGAATATTCGACGAGCTGTTTATTTAAATAACTGATTCTTTCTGAAAATCAGTAATTTTTACTGAACATGGAAATTATTTTTTAATGTTTTGAAATTATTTCCAATAATGATGCTTTGAAATATTTTTGGACATTTTTTAAAAATTTTTCGAATATTGTTTGAATATTTTTTTTTATAAGTTTTGAAGTATTTCTTTTTTCAATTGAGATATTACTTTTGATTTTCAATTTTAGAGAATAATAGAACTTTTTTTTGAAAATTTTTACAGACGATTGTTTAGTGATAGTTTATTTTTTCAGATCCTTAAGCGGGGGTTTAATTCGTAGATTCCAAAAAGTAGAATTTATTTCACATTGTATTGAAAAACTCAAAAACCATTTTTATTTTTTAAAATCTATGAATTAACCACCTTGTAAAAAAAGAAACTATCTACAAATACCTTACAGATTTCTTAACATTCCTTATATTCACACTTTTTATACATATATTCGTCATATACACCATATCTTTTATATTTAATTAGGACAAAAATATTTAAACCATATTATAATTAATGAATAAAAATAAATTTTGATATTCCAAAAGAAGGAATTGATTTGAATTAAAATGAAGAGTTTTTAGAAGTACAATTTATCAATTTTTATTTCGAATCTTCGAAATTCTATCAAAATGTTTTCTGACAATTTGAATTTAAAAAAAAATCCTTTAACATCAATTCTCGGTATTTATAAAGAAGTTTGAAATATAATTGTCCTATTTAGAATTAAAAACTGATAATTGAAAGAAACAAAGTGAAGATAATGAAGTTTCAAAAGCAATAATTGGATAATTGACCTTAGAAACTTTATTCTCAGGAGCGAGTATTTCTTACTATACAAAATCTAGACAAGTCTTTATTATTACACTAGACACAATGAAATTGAAACAATTATTTTAAACGAATATGACAGAATTTTTTTTTTCACCCAAAAATTGGTACTGTATCTCTAATTTTTTCTTTGCGTATAAGAAATTCGATATCAAACTATTCTATAATCCAATAAAAATTGGAAAAAATATCTCAAATGTGACTTCTTTAGTTTTATTTATATTATTAAAAATAATTTAGGTACCAAATCAGTATGATTTATAAACGCGCGCGATATTTTTTTTTTTTTTGAAAAATAGATCAAGACGGATACGTTACGGAATAAGAAAAAAAAATATATTTATAATAACGTAACGTTTAAAAAAAAAAGGAAAAATTGTTGCTTAAATGTACATCATTTCTGCCATATGTGACATTTTCTTTGGAATATGAACAAACTCCTCGAAATAGCTGGCAAGTTCATCGATGGTAACGTCACAAGGCGGGGGAGATATTCTCGCTTGAACCGAGCATGTATTTGTTGTACTCGAGGATTGACCAACGGAATTTTGGACTTCCGTTTGTCCAGTTGAACCACCACCACCTGGACCAGGTCCTCGTTTTAAACTTGGCATTGTATTACTACGAGCTCGTTGAAAACTACTTGCTTGATAATTTTCAGGGATACTTGTGTCATCTTTCACTAATTGTTTTGCATCGTGTGTAATTTTAAGCGCTTTAAAATCCTTTGTGACTGAACCATGACCAAAGGTTTTATAATTTCTATTTGGAATACTGAGTCTACATGTTTCTTGAAGCAAATTATTCGCTTGATTATCATTCAGACAATTATTTGAGCTCGTGCCATTTAATGTGAGAATTGCCTCTCTAATGATATTATAATTTTTTTTCGGTTTATCAAGTACTCTTTCACTTTTCGAGGGTTTAAAATTCGTTGTACTCTTTATACCGCGTGGACTTACAATTGACGGTGTCGGCCTATTTGGCATTGATTTCCGTCGAAATAAATAACTGTTATCAGTTGCCGTACCCTTCACTGTTATGCGAAATGGATTCGTTGATTTTACATTAGCCATCGTGTTATTGCTGCAAAAAAAAAGAGTCAAATTAATCACAAATTCAATTTTTTTTTAATAACTAAATTATGTATTCTTTTCAAAAAAAATTTTATCATGCAAATAATAAAAGGTTTGTCAAAATAAAAATTAGAAAAGAAATATTATAAAAATGGCAATTTAAGCTGCAAGAAAATCAAATGTCCTGTCAACTGTCGTTAACCTTGATCACCTTGACCTTAAAAAGCCTCCATGGATACCATTCGGCAAATAAACTTAAATATTAATGTACAATACAAGATTTCTTATTTTAACAGTGTAAAATCAATATTTCTGCCAAAGAAAACATTATAAAACGAATTATTAAAATATAAATGTAATTTTGAAATTTACTACTACAAATAAAGTAAATAAATAATAGGAACTATATAATAAATATTAAATAACTAAAAATTAAAGATTTTATTTCTGAATATGATGACTCATCGCCAAATATTGTTTCGCAACGTTAGACAGTCTTTTCGATAAATTCCCCAATAAAGAAATTTTTATTTTTATAAAAATTCAATCTGAAGGCCTTTTAAACCATCAAAGGTCATATATGAAACAAAAGGTGAAGGGATACTTATGAAGGTTACACACAGTAAAATATAAATATCTTTTTGTTTGTTTCTTTTTCGACAACAAAAATAAAAAAAACTGTGAACGTCCTCGAATGTTTTATTTTTCATTTTGTTCGTTAATCAAAGCAATTAATATAAACAAAAGTAAAATAGAAAAAAGTTGAATTGTAAAATATGACAAAGGGACCCCAAAAAAAAATAAAACTTACTGAGTACAAGACAATGAGATTCGATCAATTTCGAGTTTTTCTAAACTCGCCGGCAGTACTTCGTCTGTCATGGTTGTAGCATTTCCTGAATTCTGCTTCATTTCCTGAGACGACATAGCATCATGAAGGATTTGTGTTGACAAACATTAAAGTGACAGTTGACTCAAAAGAAAATTCGAGAATCCATGCAAATCAGTGATAAACGATAGGTTAGGATGACGACACTAAAGTTCGAAACGCAAAACGACGTAGCTCGTTGTTATTATCACGATATTCACCAAATTGAAACAATTTTAGCACTTGAATTGTGCACCATTTATCCCAAACTTGCATCTGTTATTAACAAGGGATTGCCCCTGTTTGTTTCAAAGGAATTAATTAATTTTTCGACTTGGATAAATAGCACGTAAATATAAACAGAACACTGCGCGCAACTGCCATTTTCTTTTAATAACTTTGAAAGCGGAAATGACAAAGCGTCGCATTGCAAACAGCAGCGCCCTCAATATTATAGCGGGAAAAATTTAAAAATATAAAAAAAATATAAAATTATAAATAAATCTCTCAAAATTAGGAAAATATTAGTTGAAAAAAAGAGAATATTAAATTTAAAAATAAGAAACACTTTTCTTTAAATTTGTATTAATTAAAAAGATTATATTCTTTAAATTTGTTTTTATTGGCGCCTGATTGTTGGCAACACAATTTCTGCTTTGTAATTCAATTGTCATGTTTTAGGGTTTTTTTTTTAAATCAAATCCTTTGAAATTGATTGAGAAACTATAGATGAAAATGTAATATTTGTGACAAACTTTAAACATGTTTATTTTATCCTTGTGCTGTCAAAATGTCGAGGAAAATCAAATTTATGTAGACATTTATAGCTCATAATTTTATTTTAAAATATAGGTTGACACTTTGTACAAAATAAGGAACTAATTTTGGTGACAGGAACATTATTTTATGAAACATTATCACAAAATGTAATGTAATATTTATTATAAAAAAAATAATAAAATATAGATATAAATATTTTTAAAAAAAATTATTTTTCTTTTAATTTATTTATTAATTTTTTTAATAAAAAGTAAATTAGTTATTTTTATTAATAAAAAATTATTTTTAAAAAAATATTAATAAAAAATATTAAAAAAAGAAATAATAAAGAAAATTTCAAAAAATTGCATAATTTATTCAGCATTAATAAATAAATAATTTTAAACGAGAGATTTTTGTCTCATTAGTTTATTGTCGACAGACTTTGAATCTCGTTTCCTGTGTGTAGAATTCGTGATATGTGCATGTTTCCGTTTATAAAAAATTTTTTTTTTCTTAGTGAAGAAGTTGGAATGTCATGAGAATGCAACATAAATCTGCGTATTATGGACCAATGATGCTGTATACATAAGTCGACCTGAAAATAGGGAGGATTATCCTGCGGTTAATTTAAAACTGGTTCCCTTCCGCATAAGTAACATTTATAATACTCACACATGGAATTTTATCTTTTATAAACGAATGAATTAGCATTCACAAAGATTCGTGAACTGACGTATTTATAATTTGCTATTTATGTTACTTTCACTATATAGATTCTAAAATGCTTTATTTTAGTGAGAAAGGCAAAATATTTTGCGAATTCCATTCATTTTGCATTAATAAATATTACGTATATTTTAATAATGTGCAAAAATAATATTTTTTTATCTCAAATGATATATTTATCTCATTTTTATATATTTGTTATATTTTATTTTTTTTTTCTAATTTTTTTTTTTATCTTTAACTTTAATTATTTATTTTTAAATAATTATTTAATTTAATTATTACTTTAATTATCAAATTTTTACTTTTTTTCAAAATAAAATTTATTTCTTTGAAGTGAAATTATTGCACAATTGTAAATATAAAAATTATCCGCAATTATTTAAATTGCAAAATTTTTGTTGGAATTTGAAAATTTTTGTAAATTGTCAGAAAAAAAGTGGAAATATAAACGAAAAAGGAAAATAATTAAATGAATCTTGCGAGCTCCTCCACGTTTCTGAAATCCATCACTTCCGTTTTGAGATCCTCGCGTTGGATTTCCAGGAAAGTCACGCAATCTTACTTTTGGTATATATAATAATAATAATAATAATAATAATACTGCACGTTGCCAACGTATCGAGCCAAATTTTCTGTCACGCTATGTCGTCCAATCTCATAACTCCACCCACTCAAAATTATGAATTTCAAAAATGAATCTGTTGAACAATTCAGTGAGATTATTTACTTTTTTTCTTCTTAATATCTTTATTATTTCTATAAATCTATTATAATTTTTCTTCTTCTATTAAAAAAAAAAAAATAATTTATCAAAAATGTTAGGTACATTTTTTTTTTTTTTGAACTATTACTGGTATTAAAATTTGGAATTTTTTATATTTGAAGATAAATAGTTATTTCGTGTTTAGTTCTCGTTAATTCATGAGTTGAATGACATAAAACACACGACTCACGAATAGAACCAGATCCACAGATTTGCTGTATCTATAAATTTGGATCTCGTAAATCGAGTCTTTGATATCGTGTGTCTTTACGATCGACTATTAAAACACACAAATTTTCTGATGTAGGTTACAAAACCAAGAATAGTTGTCAAAAAAAAAAAAAAAATTATAAAAAAATAAAATAAATATTTATTTTCTTCTATTTTCTTTATTTTTTTTTATTTTATAAATATTGCAATAATATATAGAAGGGATTATTATTGTCAATTATTTTAAAAAAATATTTTTTTCAATTATTCATATATATTTATTTTTATATTAATTGACAATTGATGAAACAATAATGATATTGCTATAAATAAAAGAAAATTCAAAATATACAATGTTTTATATACATATATATATGTAAAGCTCGTTTAAGTGTTAAATCATTATCTTGAATCGACGCCAAAGAACAACATGAAGCATCTGCTCGGTTCTCTTTTGTTTTTTTTTGTAATTTTTTTTCTTTTAAAGACGTTTTGTCTACAATGAACATTTCGCGACCTGAAGTACATACATTGAATGTTTGAAGTCGAAGCTTGTAGGGACTGTAGATTTATTTGAGAGCCTGCCATGTCCCGCAATTACTGTCAGTATGTAGAGATACCTGATATGCAAAAGGGTATATTTTAGTAACAGATTTGTATATATAAATATTCACATAAATTAAATTTTATTCTAATTTTTTTATAAAAAAAAATTTTTTTTTAATTTCAATTTAAAAATCGTAATATTGTTATTATTTTTTATTTATTTAAATTAAAAAGTGAAAAATAAATTGTCGACAATCGTTGCGTACTTTGATATGTCAAGCTTTGATCATAATTTCATATGCGTTGAATTTCTTTTTTTTTTTTTTGTCACATTTATTTTGACTCCGCAGCTCGCGCTTTGAATATTGCCAACGGATATATTACAGTATGCGGCAACAAAAATAACTGTGAAAGCATCGGTCCTAAGGGCCAAAACACTCTATATAAGAGAATCAGAATCGAGGGAGAAAATTTTCTTAGGATGGCGCATATATAGAAGATGCGATTAACGGCTGACAGAATGCATCTGACGAGTTTAAATCGTCGCTGACAGCCAAGGCTTCAACCTCTGATGAATGGCTCGCAGGGTGGCTTCAACGCTACATTATATATGTTATAAAATTATATTTATATAAAAAATAGAATAAAAAAATATATTTTTTATTACTAAATTATATAATTTTATTCAATATTTTTAAAATATTATCAGAATTTGTTGAATATTATTAAAAAAATATATTAGTTTCTCTGTTTCAATATTATATATACGTATTGTAAGTAGTAAAAGTCGTGTGTGGTCAGACAGTGAAAAAATATACGTGTCTTGGCAATTTTATTTTTATATAAAATTGAATAGAGAAATAAACGTAAATAATTTAGAAATAATTTTAAAGCAAAAACAATTTTGATAATGACATATGTATTACTAATATTATATATGAAAAGGAAAACAGCCAAATATAATATTTGCATTGCCAATCATATGTCAAGAGCTTAAACTAGGATTGCATTTTACGCTTCGTTTACAATTGTCGTCACTTGTTAATGACAGTGCGTTAAAGAGGCCTTCCAACTAACCGTGAAACTATTCATATATATATAAGGGCTATAAAAAATATATTTAAAAAGAAAATAAAATAGAAAAAATAAAATAAAACAAAAATTATAAAATAAAATTAAAAAATACTAAAAAAATATGTAAATTAAAAAATATTAAATTAAATTAAATACCTAAATTAATAAATAATTAACAAATAATAAAAAAAATAGTTACCATTGTAAAATAATAAAATAAAATTGGAACAAAAAAATTTTTTTTTGTGAAATGATGTAATTTATAAGGATTTGCATCTCTCTCTCTCTCTCTCTCTCTCTCTCTCTCTCTCTCTCTCTCTCTCTCTCTCTCTCTCTCTCTCTCAAGCGATTATAAAGAGAATGAGTCTTGGTTTGGTTGTTGTTAAGAGATGTGTTTCAGAGAGCGAGGCAAATATTATATAGGCGAGGGTGGTGAAGAGACGACGACGATGACTACTAGCGAAACGAAAATATACCTCAAAGTCGAGGGAATGGGCTGTTAATCCTCGCGAGAAATGTTTTAGTCAATCCCGCGAGGAATAAGCAACGCTTGGGTGACAACCGAGCATTTCCTTTCATCAACGGAAGAGATGTGTGCTTATGGTGAAAGCACAAATTCTCACAAAAAATGCCGATCATAAAACTTTATTATTAATTAAAATTATCTCATTCAGAAAAAAAGAAAAAAATATATTTCTATTATTTTTATTATTAAAATTAAAATAAAAAAAAAAATTCCAAAAGAAGAATATTTATTAATAAATAAATTTTTTTATATAAAGTAGAAAAATTAAATTAACATTTTCTTACCTTTTTCTTTTTTTGTTTTGCAAATTTTTAATGACTGACAACATTTAGAGTCATTCAGTTGGTGTGGGAGGATCGGCCTGTTCCCCTTTGCTGGCGAACTCCATTGCAGCGGCAGCAAAGCGGAAAAAGACACACCCTCAACCAACACTCGTGACAGCATTTTCATCCCATTCAGTGTCTCGGTGAATTTTAGTACTTACCCCACTTTCACGCTACTCTTACTCCTCTCCACTATTATATTCTGAAAAAAAGGAGAACATAAACTTTTATTTCAATGTAATTTTTTTTTTGCACTTTAAAAAAAATTGCCTTCAAAAATATTTCTGTTTTCAATTAAAAAAAAAAAAAAAAAATGCAAAAAAGATTTGTTTCTTGAATAAAAAATGTCACAATTTTTTATTGAGAAAAAAATAAATTACATTCAGATTTTAAAACGAGCAAAAATTAAGTTTTAAGAAAAATTATTTTTTCTAACACACGCATCGAAAGTACATCATTTTTTTA